GATGACGTGCAGGTGCAGGTGTCTGTGCCGGATAGCACCAGTCAGCTTGGACCTCGCAGGGGCCCAGCGTCCTGCCTTTGTGGGGATAAAGGGCACGGACGAGGGAGAGGCACGTACTCCATAGATGGGACAGCGTGGAAGCCCATCCACACACCCCACACGAACCCATACCGCTTGCGCATCTCCTCCTCAATGACCCCGCGCAGGCGCGCGCCCTCCGCGCGCAGATCGAGCAGCACCTCTCTGCCCCGCTCTCTGTTCTCGGTCTTGCGCAGCAGCGCGCGCAGGCTCGCGAGGTCGAACACGCTCAGCCCGCGCGGCTGGTAGTGCGCGGGGCGCGGGAGGACGAGGAAGTGGAAGAGCGCCTTGGGGAAGGTGTCGAAGATGGTGAGCGTGGCGTCCGTGTGCGAGAAGTAGAGCGAGGGCGGGAGCGTGCTCGGGTTGCGCTTCTGGGCGTATTGGCGCAGGACGGTGAGTGCGCCGTTGGACATGCTGGTGGATGTGGATGGTGGTCGGCGGGTGAACTACAGGACTTGCCTATTTGGGCGCGGGATCGTGACTTTGGAGGGCGAGAAGCTCGCGTTGTGGAAGTTACCACGCGCAGTGGCATCGAGGTCATTGCAAGGATGAAAGCATGGAAAGGGGAAAGGAGAACTGACAGCGTGAATGATATGTTTCGGCAGGTTGGGGTGATGCTACATACACGAGGTGATAACAGTGCGATGGAGTACAGACAGCACAAATAACACAAGATATTGGGATATACAACGAGACAGCACACGCCACGCAGTTCTAAGTGGTTCCGTTCGTGAATCATAGAGTCCTCTGAGTAATCGATCCATGGTCCGCATCCAAGTAAGAGGATCAGTTCCGGCTCTACTCGCGCCGGGCTGTGAGCAGATCCCGCAGGTCCTGGCTCAGCTCCGGCACTGCAGGTTTCGGCGCGGCGACAACATCTTGGGAGAATGCGGGGCCGCGATGGCGCAGGCCATCATAGGACGAGCGCCCTTCTTCTGCACGCCGGCGGTCCATGTCGGCGACGAGCTGCGCGAAGGAGAGAAAGAGGACTTCGGCTTGGGCGAGCGTCGTGTCGAGCTCGATGGTCATGCTGAGCTCGTTGCAGTACTGAATTGAAGGCGTCAGCGACTACGTTCGATATCAGGAACACTTTGATACTAACCTTCAGGATCTCGTCGAACTAGAGAAAGGCGATGGTGAGAAAAAGGTAAATGAGGAACCTATAGTACATACCTCTACGAGATAGCGAACGATGACGTCACGGTGAGATTCCAGGACTGCGAGAGCGACGAAAAGGACGAAGTCGTTGGTGTAGTAGTCCGTCCACAGGACTTCCCAGAGGCGAAGGACGTCGTCGAATGGGAACTCGCGCTTGAATGCGATGAGGACCCAGCTGAAACATCATTAGGACAGGCACATGTAAACATATGGATGAAGCTCACCGGAAGCAGAAGAACAGATTGAGCCCATCTGTCTTCTCTGGAGAGACGTCAGGAAGGCTCTTGATATGCATTCATAAAGACATACCAAGGTGCCTATACAGCTCGGGATCCATGACCTGGATCAATTGCTGCAGCGTGGACAATTGCTTCTTCATCCCACTCTGATCACGAAGGAAATTCTGTTTCTGCATGCCCGAATGTCAGTAAGTGTTCACCGGAAATCCCACTACAGCTTACCATGCGATTCATCACTTCCACAAAGCACCAGAATGTCAGGGCCTCGTCTGTCTTCATCGTGACGTAGATGGGGGCGCAAAGATCAGACATGCCCTGAACATAGCCTTCGAACCCTTCGGTGTCAGCAAATACCACAACGATGAACGCGCTATCGCATCCGCAGATCGAGACACCACACACCTAATTCCTTCTCATAGAAGTTGTATGTCAGCAGGATACCAGCAAGGCGATCGATGTGCTCGTTGCTGGGCGACTGAGCGCCGATCTCGTTGGTGCTCGGAGAGATCGTCGAATATCGGCGGTGCTTCTGCTTCTCGGGGTCGCTGACTGAGGATGCTGGCTCTGTAGGGTTGGCAAAGAGCGGCTGTGACCTGTCTGTGCGACGGCAGTCGACGTCGATTCGGTGACGTTCCTGATGAGATGGTTAGCTTGGAACGTGAGGACATTGTCGATGCAGATGCATACCTCTACGACGTCTTGCCGGTCGAATACTTCAGTGTTGCCAAACCATTGACTCTTCAGATCATGATATTCTTGCCTGCAGAGGAAAGATATAAGCATGCCATGCTGAGCTTGTCAACAACTCTTACATCTTCGCTTCCCACTGCCGCTGACGTTCCTCAGTAGTGACATCCCAAGCATAAGCTCCGAGGAGGAACGGCCAGATCTTCTTCCGCGTCGTATTCTTCTCGCTGATCCCCCGTCTGAAGATCTCCCGCCTCATGACCTCCTTACTAACCTTCGGACGGCCATCAGCCTCAAACCACGAATCGAACGTCTCGTCATCCAGCGGGTGCTTCGGGTCCCTCGACGACTTGGGCGTGGGCAGATTCGCCGTCGACTGCAACAGCTCAAAGATGCCCAGCTCCGACGTCTCCTCGCTCGTTGCGCCCGACGCGGGAATCGCCTGCGCCTCCTGCCGCCGCGCGCGCTCGCCCTCCTCCGCGACGATCCGCGCCCAGCGCGCAAGATACACACGCGCGCTCTCGAACTCGCCCACACCGCCCTTCTCGACCCAGCTGCCCCACTCGAGGTCGCCGCTCGCGTTCACGAGGCTCCGCACGGGGTCGGGCAGGTGCGGCACGATCGGCTTGGCGAGCGGGTGCGAGAGGATGTTCTGCGCGGCGTGGCGCGTCGCGCGGGTGATGTTCGCGAAGGACTGCAGCAGCGCTGTGCGCGCCTGCGAGCCTGATGCGGGGGCGGAGGGCGAGGGCATGGAGCGGTGCAGGATGGAGGAATGTTGGGAGTATGGATTGGGCGCGGCGGAGCCTGATAGTGGGCGCGGGCGCCGGTGGGAGGGCACGGGCGAATGCGAGTTGGCGTATGAGGAGCGCGCGAGGATGTCGTCTACGGCGTCGTCGGAGAACAGGTGGGTGGTATGCGTCTCGATGTCTGCCTTTGAAGGGTCGACGAGGAAGAGGGTTGGCTGTAATGTCGAATGGAGAAGGTGTGCATAAGAGCGAAGGCGCGTGAGGAGATCCTCCCCGCCCCAAGAGGTAATTGGTCGACCAGTGGCCGCCTGTCCTGCATAAGAGGGAGGTGGGGGGTATGAAGTAGTCGGAGACGGGTCGGCTGGGGGAGATCTGGGAGGCAGTGTGAAGGAGCGTGATTCGTCGTCGTGGAAATGCAAGCTGGGGAGCGTCGCACCGCTGATCAGGTTGATGTCGATGGATCCATCTGAGGGTCTATACGTTAGGCGGTCTGGAATACGGTGAGGATATATGACAAGACGCACACCATGAGGACAACGACGGAGCGTGTACTATAAGCGAGTATATGGACGTTAGTGGCACGGAGAACGCATAGGACTCCGGTCGCGATGTGGGCATGTCGATGAGGACACCATCTAGGATGTATGGGTAGACTGAAACATAGTAGCACCAAATAAGATCTGACCTTCTTCCTCGTCCTCCAGCGCAGAGCGCTCTTCCGTCCGAACGAACTTGTCCCACTCGTCCTGACCCTTCTCATTGAGCAACGTCTCTGGTATCCAGGCGAGCAAGTACGTCGAGGCAAAGGCTTCCTGAGGTAGACAACGTCACTGTGAGCCGCTGTGTGGAGTGGCATTGTACGGCAATGTCGACGTACTCGCTTGACAATAGTCACAAAGCCGGGGATGTTGTCTCTGGCATACGCAGTAGGATTGACATAGACCTTGGACTTTGCATAGATCAGCCTATATTTCGCATCGTCCTGGGCCTGCGAAGGGACCGTGGAAGCCGATGCCCCGTGCTCTGATTCGCGCTTGATCTCGACCATGGAATCGGACTGAGGGATGCGCGGGCTTTCTCAGCAAGGTGGAAGGATCTCAGAAGATGAACGCACGGAAACCGTGGAGAGCGAGTCTTCGTGTGATGAGCGACGTCCTCCTCCCATAATAAAGGGCGTGCCAATTTATGTACGGTGGAATACGGTGGACGGGGCGTGTACCTTACTGCGGGCTGCGCTAGACTCTACAAACAAGCCCTTTTCGTGCCTCATCTTAGCGCCGCCACGTGCCCCGCCCTCGGCAAACGGCATGTCGCGCGCTCAGCACAATGGCAGCACAGATAATTCAGACCTTGCCGGGAGCCTCACGCACTCGTACAGTTTGCTAGCAGCTGGATTGCAAGGAAAACAGAGCGAAATAGGAACAAGATACAACACTCCAGCCCATCGGGACAAGCCCTCTACTTTTGGTATGACCAGACATTCCGGAGGACTGTTCAAAAACGGCATATCAGCGTGCGCACACAGCTGCGACAGGTGCAAATACTCACGACCAGCCTTGGTCGCCAACCGGTTGATCGAATCGTCGCTCTCACCCTGCGAGCGGACGGGGCCGGACAGAGCGAAGGAGGTGGAGGTGCTCAGGGCACGGCCGTTGGCGTCGACATCAGCGACGCTGATCTGGACGGACGCGTGGTCCTTGGAGGTAATGAGGCGGTCTGTTGAATGCTCTGCATCAGCACACCGGACGCGTTAGCTCGAGACAGGATGAGACGCACTGGTCGCCGAGCACTTGCGCGGGACGTAAAGGTCAACAAGGACACCCTGGAAATCACAGCAACTGCATCAGTTTCACGGATACGCCGACTAGGACGATATGCACATACCTGATCGTTCTCCATTGTGAGTCTGCGGGTTTTGGGCCGTCTGTAGGGTCTTGTGCTAATGAAGTGGGCGTGGGATAAAAGTAAGTTTGCAACTGTATAGACATTGCTCACCTCAGCCATACATTCCCACGCTTTCTTCGAGTGTGGCGCCGTGCCAAAATGTCCCAACGTCATTGTACGGATTGCTATCTTGATTCCCTCCTCATATCCCCCGATAGCTCAGTTGGAAGAGCGTGGGACTGTAATTGGAAAACATGGCATCCCGAGGTCATTGGTTCGATCCCGATTTGGGGGACATCTTTTGTTTTTACAAAGAACGGTTCACCATGTCCATCGTACTTCGTGTGTGTTACTAAGTATTTGCTTGTATATACGTACTGAAAGCAGTCGGCTGGGATTTAAGGCATGGTCTGTTGTATCCGTCCGTTTCTTCGCAAACGGAGGGAGTACAAACTAGTAGTATACTCTTGAATGTCTTGGCTTATAAGATTGCACGGATAAGAGATGTAGCAGCACAGAGTGCGATGTATTTGCATACGTGATAGGGGTTTCCACTACCTGTGAAGGGTATCTTCATCGACGACTCCCGCGTCGCCTCCATCGTTCCACACATCCGTAAGGGGACCTGGGCCACCCTTCCTCACCGTGCCATTCAGCTCAACATCCTCCCCATCCTGGTCCATGTGATCTCTGTATACCCCCCCTTCGCCCCGGCGGCTTTCGCCGAGGTTGACTCCACTGTAGACACCGCCTGCAGAAGGCGGCCGGTGGGCGTGCACCGGAAGCACGTCATCCGTGCTGCGTGAGCGCGGCGCGTACGGGCGGTGGGAGAATTCAGATTGGAGAGGTGGGTAGTATTGCCGGTAGGCGAAGTAAGCAGTGACGAGGCCGAGGATAGATCCTACGAGCACGTCGTGCCAATGGTCTGCAGAATGTGGTCTCAGTATCAGATGCTAGAATCGAGGCAACAGTAGCTTACGGCGGTAGTCCATGGTACGCGATATCGCTACCAGTGCGGCGCCTGAGAGAGGCGTCAGAGCGATCCATGCTTTGGGCTACAGAATAGAATGCTCGATAAGCAAGGCGGATAGTCTCATTGTGTAATAGATCACGTACCGCGTGTCCTCGCTTGTCAAATAGGTGCATTTTACCTGCGAGATAGAAGGACAAGAAACCCAGGCCAGCAAACGACACTTCTGCAGGGTTAGTGTCGAGCTTTGAACATACTTCCGTGCGGACCTACAGCTAGAATGCCCGCTCGGGAAGCTTCTGAAGCCATCTCTAAGCTTGCTTATGTCGCTCTGGTTGCAGATGGCTACTGAGGAAAGTCCAAACGGTGGATCTACTGTCCCCGGTGCTGGGTTGCACCGAGAAATAACGTCTGCGCGGCATGATTAGCATTTTCGTCATGAGCCCCTGGCTTTCGATGAATATACCTGGTCGTGGGCGACCTACAGTGATCTTCGTGAATTGCGTGATGGCTCCTGTTATAGACAGGCCCAGGATAACTGAGGTGACACTGAATCAGTCCGTATTGTTAAGGGTCTCAGGCTTATTCTTACCTCCGAGGGCGCTGCTATGCGCGTCCCACCATGATCGGATAGTCACTAGGTCTATGACCCATTGCAGAACGAGGGGTGCGACAATTGCGATGCAGTATAGAGCAGGATCCTGAGCAGCGGGTGGGTGAGCAATCGACAAGTTCGCCGACTGTCGGCAAGGTAACAGTACCTACAGGTACGCGTTCGTGTTCGGCGAAGCTTCACAAGAGTTTACTGCTGAGAAACAAACAGACCAATATGCCGAAGAGCTCACGGGTGTCGTAATCTTGAGAGTGGTATGAGTAGACGCGCAACGGGGCAGACGCGGAACGCACGATGTGTCAGAAACCGAGAACTCTCGCTTGAACCCATTGACCTTATCCAAGGCGAAGAATGCAGCCCTGTGGCCCGTAAGCATGGCCGTCGTAGAGACGGCATATGGACACTCACGCGAGTACTAGAGTGACAATCCTGAGCTATGGCATTAGCAGATAACGAGGATACATGCATAGGCTCGCCGTACCAGTCGGGTGCATATGAAATCACAAGCAGTCTCAAGCTCGGCATGGGAGAATGGCTGCGGCGGTAGCGAGCGTCGTCGGATCCAAAGCGCAAAAACTGCGGTATTGGCATGGCTGGCAGCAAGGGTTCGTCAGAGGAAACGGAAAGCAAGGAGGACGAGCTGTGTGGAGATGGACTATTTGAAGGCAGCATCCGAGGCCTCCGATCGCTCTCAGGCTCAGACCGCCAAGCGGCACGTCGCTGCGCGTCTAACGTAAACGCGACCCCATTCGACGCGCCTCTGCTCCATCTCTCTTCCTCCCTCCGCGCTCGCAGGCCCAGCACTGCTTTGCCTCGGCAAACACAGGAATTGGACGACCGCTCTGCACCTTGGCTTGGGCTTGGGGCGGGCAGAACTACCGCTGACAGCGTACACTTGATAAGCAGCAGACGATGGGTGAAGCAAACCACGATGCGCACGGCCTCGCGCCAGGCTTCCAATGGACAGAAGGTATGTCTTGTGAAGACAACTGCGGACCGGACCAACGAGACTTCTTCGAGTCGGCAGATTACAACGCGGTTCTAGAGAAGATCGCATCGACTGACACTGTCGAGTACGTGTGAATGTACCAGACAGTATGGGCACGCTTCCTAATTGTGCGGCGCGCAGAACGGAATGGCCCTTGTTGCGAAACATTATCAAGTACAAGCTCGATCAAGTGCGTATCTGGTGAGCGCGTGTGTCGAAACGTGCTCACTTCATTCCGTAGAATATCAGCTCTTTCCTGGCAGATGCGGAGAAGCTGAGAGAAGCTGCGACTCCAGTGCCTCCATTTTCACCTCGTCCGTCAACGAACGGCGGGCTCAAGATACCACCCTTTATCGCTCGTGAACGCGACGAGTCGAATCCGAACGAGGCGCCGAAGAAGCTGTTGGGAACAGAGGAGACGAAAAAGTTCCGAGATACACTGTTTTCGCAGCTAGATGACCTCGATGGGTGCGTCGTATTCCCTGGCCACTTACAGCCGCACTCATGCGCGATCCAGCACCCCTTTCACGGTTCAACGGCTGTGCGAACTATGCGCTCGACCACGGGAGCATTACTCTGCCATCGGGAAATACCTGCGTGCATTGGAACGAACGGTCTATGTAACATCGACATGGGATTCGTTCCCCCCGTTGCCACCGCAAGCTCAGGCCGCTGCCATTTCATCGACCTCCCTAGGCGTCTCGTCGACGTCTGTCCCCGCCACACCGCTGTTTTCGCCCATCCCCTTCCTTCACGGTGACGCACGACGATCGAAATCACGCAGCCCTCCGCCATCTCCACTCGCGCTGAACGGGATTGACCCGGGAGGAGGTGTCCCCCTGGATTCCGCAGCGCTGGACTTGGAGCAGAAGCCGCTTGGCATGGTGGACGAGATGGATGACCCGGGTCCAGGGCATCTGAGCGACAGACCAACGGCACTCACATCTGTCACGAGCGTAGGAGAGGGCTCGGGTGCGATCACCCTGGAGGAGAGGTTCGTGAAGGCCAGCGAGGCAGAGAAGAGCGAAGCAGAAGAGGCGAGCGAAGGGCCGGACGCAAAGAAGGCAAAAACGGGTGAGAACGAGGATATGGTTCTGGACGACCAGGACGGGGATAAGGAGAACAAGAGCTGATGTACATTTCTTGCGGTGGATAGGATTGCGTGTAGCGTGGTATCATATTGTACTTTTGGGAGGACACCTCACCTCAGTTCTCGAATTTTTGCTTGACTTGCTGAAGCAGCGCATTCATCCTCAGCCGCATGTCGGGCTGGCCGCCGCCTCTGCCTCTACCCCTGCCTCGACCGCCGCCTCGCTCTGCGCCTCTGCCTCGGCCCCTGCCACGCTCAGCGCCTCTGCTACTGCCGCCTCTTCCCCTCGCACTCGACCCACCACGGCCTCTAGAGCGGTGCAGCGGGTCGGACTTGTAGTGGTGCAAGGTCGACCGCGAGTACGCGAGGTTCTGCAGCTCCCGCAGCGAGAGGCTGTCTTCTTCCTTGGGTGGTGGTTGGTCCCGGGGATGTGTCCGAGGCGGTGATAATGAACGGATCGAGAGGCCTTCGGAGTCCCTCTCGACGCTGTCCTCGGAAGCATCGCTTTCCATAGCAGCATCGCCCTCTTCCGAAGCCTCGCTGCTGCCAGAAGCATTGCTCTCCACAGGGTCGTCTTCCATGGTTGCTGACTGATCCTCTTCGGGGGCTTTGTGGGTAGAGGACGAGGCGGCATCGCGGCGAGTGACTATGCCTTCCTTGCGTTTTTGGGCCTTCCATTTGCTCTTAATTTTCTGCTTTTCGACCCATTCTCTCTTGAACCTTTTGGCTGCGGTGAATCAGCAAAGCAAAGGCTTGGTAAAAAGATGCACGTACCGGCATGCTCAGGAAGGTGATTGAAAGTGGGAGGCTTTCGCTTAGTGCGAGAGGTAGTAGTGGGTGCCATTGGGAAGCTGACGTAAAGAGGAGGAGCGGGATAAATGGAGGATGCAAGACGCGGCGCTCTCTCCCACAGTCCACCATCTTGTCGCTCACTCAGCCCATAACCACCACTCAGTCTCCCTTTTCTCTTTCTCCGGCCTCCCTTCATCGCATGAGCGTGCAGAACCTTAACACTTTCGGTGCGCACCCTCGCCCAGTCCTACAAATTCCCCATCACACGCTGACTCGTCTTTTCTCGCCTCTACAGACCCGTTTGCCGACGAGGGTGACCCGCTCGGTGGTGCCAACCAAGACGTCGGGTCTCAGCAGAATTACATTCACATCCGTATCCAACAGCGGAATGGTCGTAAGACGCTGACCACACTGCAAGGCTTGCCTAAGGGTGCGTCCCATCGCCGCCTTACCCCCTCCTGCCACACTAACAGTCCCCGCAGAGTATGATGCTAAGAAGCTTCTGAAGGCATTCAAGAAGGTCCGTGCTCGCCGTACTTTCCCCATCCCACCCGGCGTATCGCCCTTCCCCATCTAGCTCCCTCTCCTCACTTTATCCGGACCGGCGTCTGCTGACACTTGCTCCCCCCATTACAGGAATTCGCCTGCAACGGTAACCTTGTCGACGATGAAGAAATGGGCCGAGTTATTCAGCTGCAAGGCGATCAGCGCACCAAGATATCCAACTTCCTCACCGAAGAGGGCATCCCTCGCGCCTCGATCAAGCTGCACGGGTTCTGATCTCGACGCCCCCCGGGTCGACAGCAGTGGGTCCCGCTCCTGTCCCCAGCGCCGATGTCTCA